ATATAAAAGTTCTTATTAACTATGAAATGCTAAAAAAACTAAAAGAAAAAAATTGGCCTTTTTTTTTTTTTTTTTTAAAATAAAGAGGAGCATATAGAGAAAGAACTATTTCTTAGCTGATATTCTGAAAAAGCCATGAGTCCTCCATCAGCTCAACCCAGTCTATCTTTGCCCTGCTCTTGCAGGTGGCCCCTACATGACCCGACCTCCCAATGCCTGAGGTTGGAGGGGACGCACCTGAAAATGGGGATGACATAGTTGTTTGGGAAGATGCCGACTCGCCCAGTGACCAAGGAGACGCCCCTGAGCCAGCCATCCTGGTACTTCCCCAGGACCCTGATGCCTTCTCCCTTCTGTAGGTCCAGCTCGTCAGGTCCATGGGCTGAGTAGGAGTGCAGGGCTACAAACCTGGGGAGACACAGGGAACTAATGTGTGAGTGAAGAAGGTGAGAGCACCTAGTGGGGGAAGACAGGACCTCAGAGCCTATCAGCCAAGGATTAGCTAAACCTTTTCAAATTGAAAGTGCCACATGGAAGGCGGATCAAAAGTAGAACGACCTGGTTGAAACAGTAGCAGAGGGGCCCAGATCCCTGTGCAACCAAAAGCATTAAAAAAATAACCCAGATCCTAGAGTCACCAGTATGTAACCCTCAGGAATGTCAGACATTAGGGAGCCCTGCCAGAGCCTAAGGACTGTGAGACACTGGAAGTCTTTCTCAAAGTGGCTAGGGGAGTATTCTCATCTTCAGGTTTATTTTGCTTCCTAAAATGCTATATTTATTTTTTTTCGTGATTAACAAATCAACATCTATTTATGACCCAACATTTTGAATCTAATGGAAGGTAAAAGAAATCACTCAATACCCAAAATCTCAATAAGGTTGTGGTATAAAATCTTCCAATCTCTTTCTACTTTTGTAAAATGAGCTAGGATGCTATGGCTTGCTAATTTGTGTTTTCTACCATTATTTCTTTTGGAGGTGGTAAAGGAATAAAGGAAGGGGAGCTGTCCTCTGTCTGGATGAGTTGGTTTGAGAGTGATGATGTTTGATGGTAGAGGGTTGGCAGAGATGACCCCTCTGTACCAGAACCTGGGGTGAGGGGCTGAGCTTTTTACTCACATGTTAGCTGACAGGTGTTGCTGTGAGCTGGGCAGACTGACCATGGCCATGGGATGTCCTGGGGAGGCAGGTGCAGAGTGGTATGTGCTGACCTGCAACAGACACACAGAAAAGACAGCCAGGCAGAACCAGTGAGTGCCACAAGTCAGGCCCCAGAAGACAGAGCTGCTACAGAAAGGCCTGACACAGTTGAACACCAGAGCCGCGCTGAGCACCACCCATATGTGGCTTCTCTGTGGTTTGCGGCTGTGAGAGAGCAGGGCGGGGATGGACTAGCTTATGGGCTGCTGGGGTGGCAGGCCAGGGCTGCATTCCAAAGACTCCTTAGTATGGTAGGAGATGAAGAGCTGTGTAATGTAGTCAATGGGGCACTGCCAGGCTCCTGTTTTGTTCTCCTGTCCCCACCCCCCCCCACCCCCAGTACATTCACCTCCCTCTATGAAAACCTGCCCTCGGAAAATGAGCTGACAGCTACTACTGACTCAGAACTTTGCACTTGCCAGGTTGTTTTACATGATTTATAACATCAGCTAATTTAATCCTTACTAAAGGTACTAATATAATCCTTATTTTAGCATGAGAAGCTGAGACACCGAGGGAAAGAAAGGTCATTCGACGAGTATGAGACAAAGAACATTTAACATTGGATAGTACAGGATCTGAGCCCATACTTTTACTACCTACTGCTGGTACAAATACACACACACACACACACACACACACACACACACACA